CTTTAGTTCGTGAGTTTGATAATAAGTATCTTATTCTTGCCATATTAACTTGTACAAGATTACAAAAATCAGATTCATTTTTAAATTTAATTAGGAAGAATGTAGTATTCACCAGCATATGCCATTGCATTTTTGTCAAAAAGAAACAATTTAATCAGTGTTCATAACCCGAACAAACTAGTCATAACATGCAGCACCCATTCACGAGTATGACGAATGAGCCAGCCATCATTGCGCTCAATCATATTAAAGGGAGCACATTGATCCGCTAACCACGCCTGATTAACTTTAGCAAGTACTAGCGAACTTTATAGCGAGCCTGACTGTTTTAAGTTACTCCACTACATCATTTAAAGTAATTTTTTTTTATTTATTTCACAACTTTCTCAGATATTAAATTCTAGGCTTACTACCTTTTTTATGTACATTTCACTTATAAAACAAAATACACACAATATTAATCAAAAGTAATTCTTAAGTACTATAAGTAATCTAACCGGGTTATTTTGATTGGTTTTTTAATTTTATGTTATTTATTTATAATTTGGGTTTTTTACTATATTACCTATTATATATACTAGACACTTATTACATTTATATATATCATTATATTATATTATATTATATTATATTATATTATATTATATTATATTATATTATATTATATTATATTATATTATATTATATTATATTGTATGTATCATTAAATATAGTAGCCATATCCTTCATCTAATGTACCTACATATAAATTTTAGCATGTGGTTAGTTTATGTCAACGGAAGCTAAGTTCATTATGTATCAACCTCGTTGTTTATATTATAAAATGTTCAATCCGTTTATTTAAAAAAATGGCAAGCACATGTATTTTAATTCTTTGCAAAATAAATAGTGCAGAATCAAGCAATCGAAAACGGACCCTATTGTAAAGAACAGCATGTAAGATCTAGTGGGGGGACCTGGTGACCCGTGATACAGGTTCTTCGGATACCTAGTACAGGCACCAGTTCTCCACAAATCTGTATTTTTGCATGAATTTTACATGTCAAAGGCTCTGAGCACTTTATATTATGTATGATTTTGTGGAGAAAAATAAATATATTATTATTATTATTATAGTATTTGATAATAATTAAAAAAATATTAATTTTTATTTTATTAACGTTTAATTTAATACAGATAACCACAGAGTAGTTAATTGTCAACATGAACCATTATTAAAAATCGCTGCGAACTATTTGGAATAGTCACATACATTTTAAACAATAATAATAAATTCCTCAAATTGAACGGCTCTGTTCAACGTTGCGATCTAGTTCGATCGGTAATATGCAGATAACATAATTTGATCCGTGAAATGATATACGCATTTTTGTACTGAATTTTCTGTAGGAGTTTATTTATATATTGAAGGTGTTAAGAAAATAACATATTATGGTTACTTCTGTATATTTAATAATTAAAAAAAATATTAATTTAATATAATTCATGAACTATATGAAAATTAAAAATGTACAAAATAATAAAAAACATGGTTCAAAATAAGAAATTATTATAAACGGAGATCTACCGCCAACAATTATAATTCAATATTAATCATAACAACAAAGAAAAGGGAAAAGAAAATATTTAAACTCTTTTTATCAACTACGAAGAAACGTTTAATCCATGTTCAAAATAATTATTATTAAATGAGTTTTTAAAGAAGCAAAAGGAATTTAACAAGTATAAGAAAAACTCCCATAAAGTGAAACTTCCTATATACGAACCTCAAAACAAACGTGGTATAATCTACAAACTTCTATTGAATTAAACATTCAAATTAGGGAATGACAACAATAATATTTGTAAAAAAAATAATAATTTAAATTTAATTTAATAATAATGAGATAATTATATTAAATTAAATTTCAATAATTTAATTTTTATTAATATTATAAATGTGAAAGTTTGTTAGTATGGATATTTGCTACTCTTTTATGCAAAAAGTACGGAACGGATTTTGATGAAACTTTCCAATTAATATAGCTTCTACATCAAAATAAGACAGGCTAAAAATATCTAGTGGGTGAAGCCGGGGGCACAGCCAGTATAAGATAATATGATCGGTAGTTTAAATTCCAAGTTATTCAATAATATTTTTACATTAATATTTACAATTTTCAGGGAATTAATGCTTGCCAAAAATGTCTAAAACTATGTACATTGATACAAAACTATAAAACTGATATCTGTAGATATAACAAGTCTCGCATTGTATAAATAGTTGTTAGTTTTTCGTTATGCCAAAAGAGATTGTGGCCTACTTTCTCAACTACATACAATACCGTTCTACTGCCAGTAAAATAGTTTTATGGTGTTATTTGCATCTCTACTACCAAATCTTAAGGACAGTGTACATATACGAGTAACGTATGAATATCTTACGTTTAAAAATATAACTATTTATATCGTGAAATTATCGCATGAAAGTACAGTTATAAATATTATAAATTAATATAATTTGACGACTAGAGGTTTAGCATACCGCATTATTTCGGGTAGTCTCGGGTTCAATTCCTCGCACGGTGCAAATATTTGTATTCATGAGTATGATAGTTTGTATTGGTCTGGGTGTTTTCTATATATATTATGTATGTATTTACAACAAAGAAAAAATATCAAAATTTTTGTATAAGTTGTCTAATACCACAAGTTCTGCTTACTTAATATTTTACTAACCCTGACATACAGACCTAACTCTTAGATCAAATCTGGTAAATATCAAACAATGTCAATTTGTCTTAATTGTCCAACAACCAACAAAATTATTTCGAAAAAGCCATTTTTCGAAATTAATTTTAACTGTATATAATATATAAAATAAATTTAAATATTCCCAAATTTTCCAAATAAAATCTGAGAAAATTATACATCAAATATAGTAATCAAATATATAGTCTATAAGTATAACGTAATATAATATATTTTTTTAATACTTGATCTACGCACTTTCCTACTTTCAAAATCAATAACCAAATAAATAAATAAACATACGTACAAGTATAACCCGCTAAACGCTATGTGGTCCCAAACGTAGCATATGTTATACTACTGCAAATACATTCATAATATACAAAGAAATATTCCAAGATATAAAAATTTTCGTGCTGTTTACATAATGGAACGACGGGATTCGAACCCGCGACCATTTGGGAATATAACCATCTACTCACCACTGAGGTCATCAAGCAGCAACAATTTAAATAATACAAATGCGACCTGACGTTTTCATTGCAGCTCCTGAAAAAAGTATCCTATATTTAGTTGCACGCTAAATTTAAACGTACATTAATTCAGTTCGCAGTCTAGCCAACTACCTGATAGCGACTGGCGCCTCGACGCCATTTTGAATCTGTGCCAACGCCGAGAATTCGCAATACGCATGTCTTTCTTACCCCAATGAGATTTGTAGCGAGAACTTAATCTGAAAAAGTTTACTCTTGCCGCTTTAGTGTTTATCTTTTCTGATGAAAAGTGGCGCATTTACCGCTTTACATTGTATCTTGTGGCTATTTGCGCAACCGACTTCAAATAAGAAGTATTTTATTTACAATTTTTTTATATATATATAAAAATATTGTAAAGTATAAAAAAAATTGTAAGATATATTACAGAATTGACGTAATTTCTAAATGCAGTTTATTCAGAATCAACCGCCCTAAATGATATTGTTTTTTTTTATTTGATCCAATATTGTCCCATTCTGTACGATGCGACCTATTCTGTGAAAACATCCTAATTTCTCCAGAAATTTTTGAGTGATAGCACATACGTAAGACTGACACAACTTATTATATGTTAGATTACCACAAATACGTGTATATTTACTTTAATTAGAGATTTATATACTGTAATTAGAAAAAAATATTTCAAATTGGTCAGGTAAACATGTCCTAATTTTTGCTCATTTTGGAACACAGTTTTTTTATACTCGTTATCTTTAAGTGAACTCTATGACCCTGCTATTACAGTGTATTAAACAATAACACAAGCATATCAGTGACACCATATTACATTGTAATTAAAGGATTTGACGTCACGTACTTAGGGTTGTACTCTTGTCTCGAAGGGGCTAAAAGGGTCAAGTGTGTTTACGCTCTGATTAGTGCGTTGAATAATCTATTATTTGTAACTATTGTAGTGTAAATTCTACACTACTATGTGGTAAAACTTGACTTGTTCTGGTACAGTCAGCCTCATTTTTTTATTCTTCATAGGCAAAGACGCTGACGGACAGATAGTAAGCGGTCAGCATGTATAATTTATTATTTCTTTATTAATTTAGGGACATTTTTTCATGTTTGATACGCCTGACGTAGAAAGAAATATACATAGAAAAATACATATTTAGTATAGTTAAAAGGATACTCAACAATATAAAAAAAGTGACATCAAAACATAATTTATATACCATATCATACACTAACATCGTTACCACAAACGAGCTCTCTGCCAGCTCAATGTGAGATATGCCTGTATTATGCGTATTATAATATTGTTTTGCATAGTTGTCATTTATAAATTTGTTGTTTCCCTTTATAAATACTACCTAGGACATTGTTATCATATGACACTCATGATAATATTCTAGAAGACTAGGATGTCATGAATTCAGTGTCTAATCTGACCTTAAAGCTGAAACATGACGGATTATACGTTCTATTTTCATTTCATGTAAGGACTACGAATTATGTTATTTTAATACAAAATAAATACACACTGATTGAAATTATGGAAATGTACATAATATGAAATAATATGCCTAAGCGTTAACTGTCGCTTTATAGAAACACGGTCATCACGTTATCATTAATCAATGCATGGCAAGGCATGATATCAATCAGGAATGTGATTCCAGAAGACTAGATTGTCTTTTCTCTTATTCTGTCTTTTCTTTATGCTACAACCGAAATAATATTAGAAAATAAAAAGTACATATATAATAAGTACATTTAATCGAAACTGCGACGGAGTGACAGTATAAACATTTCGGTATAAAAAAAATCTTACATTAGATATTCACATGCATTGTTTCCAAAATACTTGACAGAGCGCACCTATTGTGAGGGAATTCGATATTACGTATAACAGCTTTTAATTGCTCTCGAATTTCATTTGTAAAAAGAATCGTTTCATACGAAATTGACCTTTTCACTCTTAGGAGACTCGGCAAAATGTTCGGGTGCGATTTCTTCTGAACTTTTGACTCTGAACGGAGTAACGAATCATTATTATCGGCTAAATCCACAAGGCTTGCTGTGTATAATAATAGTGCTCTAATCCCGTACATTACCACGACCAGGAACAAGGAGAATCCAGCGATGATGTAGTTCTTCTCAACTCTACTCAGGAGAATCAATTTATCGTACTCATTTAGGATATTGGAGAAAATTAACGAGTGAATGCTTTGCAGAGGGACACACATACCCAGATACACAACGGAAAGGAAATAGCACGTAATTGAGCAGAAATAGAACGTCTTGTGTGTTTTTGTTACTGTTGTAAGATACTGAGAGATTTTCTTCACATCGTACACGGGATTTAGCATGATTAAAATCACTGCCATCTGTATTAGTAGCAAGCAAGTCAGGATAATACAGCATGCGTCCATTTTCTTGGTCTTGATATGGCTGATGGTGATAGGGATATCTTGCTATGGCATTTTTAAAATAAATTTCTTATAAAGAGAATCTATAATGTTGTCTTACATTTCGGCTGACAATTTATGACAAGATATACGACAGATGTTCTTTTTATGAATATTTTTTTTCCTTTGTTGGTATATTACGATGTTGCCTGTAATATTGAAAATAAGATCGATTGTCTACTTTACATTATGGTTTTTTAACGGTATATCGCACATACACTCGTTATAATGAAGTACAATAAATTACAAGAAATTAAAAATTAACTTTAATATTCGTGATCACAAAGTCGCTTTTCCATTATATGTAGTTTTTGAGTTACTGCTGTTTAGTATTATAGATGCGATATGTATATTGATAAATAGAAGTAATAGAAATTATTCAACTGACTAAATTGAATAATTGATATTTCTCTTATATTTTTTTAAATAAATTATTATATTTAATATCATTATAACGGTTATGTCATGGAATTAAACAATATATGTTATAAATTATAAACTACATACATTCTTTAATACAAGATTTTATTTAATGTGGAAACTTTCAACAATAGGATCTAAATAATAATATGCATAATTTGCATATTTGCAATTTAATCTACTCAAGATTAAATTGCAAATATGCAAATTATGCGGTATATGTTATAGAATTTCACTTCAATGTGGAATCTAACGTAGTAAAAAACTAATAAAATGATATTAAAAATATTTTAACCATAAACATCAATTTAACGTTAGGAATAACGTCCGGGATGGATTTATGCGTCAGCTCATACAGATTTTACACTACTGTCGTATTGGATGATTGTGTTGCACATTCTCTAGTTAATATTGCATGTCTGCACATCAGCTCGAATTCAAGTAATCTAGCGATCATGATCAGAAACTGAGCTAGCCTTTCAATCAACAGTAATAGATATAGAGCTACGAAGAAGCATATATAGCATATTGACATCTTGCTCAAATAAAATTCTAAAATCAAAGGCGTATCGTCCACTTTCCTTAGAAGATTTCCATAATATTTTTTCTCCCATGATATTTCCATAAAAGTATTTAAGAAGAGTCCGAATACAACTGCCCCTAATATTTTCGAGTGATAGTTGGTTCTATCCTGCAAATAGCACCATAAATCTCTTATATAGTAGGGTTCTTTGACGGGCTTCAGTAGTGCTATTACAAAAAGCAATTCTGAAAACAAAATTATTCCCAAAATGGCGCTGAATATATTAATCATGATGTTGAAATATTATTTTGTTTATAAATACGTATAATGTTTTGGTAAATCTTGTATTATGATTATTAATATTTTTTACTTTATTCAGAATTATCTTGACTTGGTTTGTTTACTCCAGTTTCATCAGCATCAACTGTTTTTTGAGTAGTAATATTTTTATCTTCTTTATCGGTTCCTCGTGTCTTTTCTTTAAGGAAGGTTTTAATATGCTTATGTTCTATCTTATTAAGGTTAGCAATAGATGGCCATCGTATATGATTGTCTACTTCTTCATTATCCTCATCTTCTTCAATAGATTGGTCTATAATAAACGATTCGGTCTCTCTTTCTATCTCAGTTGTAACAGTCACGTCAACTAAATCATAATTTCCCATTAAATTAGAAAATTCATATAGTTTTGCTGAAAATTTAACGTAGTCGAATAACCTTAATGCAACTACTGTAAAAAATAGTGAAAATCCAGCAAGTAAAGAGTTCCTAGTAGCATTTGTTGAGTCTATAATTCGTATTAATTTTTCCTTGGAAGTTTCGTTCTTTTTCAATAATCGTGAATATTTTAAATTATTTAAAGTCCTTGTAGGACCTAAAATTCCAAATCCAATAATAAAAATTACATACATGGTAATAATAATACGCATTAAATTATGTAGCTGTGGGTTATATAAAATAAATCTAATAGATCGTGAAAGAGTGGTCAGATCTACTATAGGTAATAGTAATAATAGGATTATCACCATTTGCACAACATTAATTGAGATTAGAGTAATTACCGATAAATCTAGGGCAACCATAATTGTTTTTATATATATTTTAATTTAATATACTACATTTCTTATATTACTGTATTGAGTATTGTGTACTGTTGATATTTTTGTCAGGTGTCATATTGAAGTTGTCAGAATATAATAAAAAAAATTGTAAGAATATTGTTCATACAATAATATCCTCCTTGGTACCATAAACGTTTAACTCAGCATAAAAACCGTTTAGAGCCGGCACCCGGCAATTTATGTAGCTATCACGCCTTCTACATTCCCATGATTGAATTCGTTATCAACCGTCACCCACAATGCCGTATCGAAAACGAAACTTGTAACAAGGAGCCCATTTACGTCGTCGATATCTCGCTGTGAAACAAAATAACGCACCAATAGTACGTGGCATATATTTTGCTTTCAAACATATGTTGCTTCAGTCTCACCCGCGCCGATACACGTAACACACACGCTACCTGTAAGCATATACGTAAGCCATTAGTCGGAACGAGACAACGATACTTGCTATTACTGTCGCACAGGTAGCACGTGGCACCCCCTACCAAGTGTCTCCCTTGCCTTTATCACAACCATTACCTATGTCGATTCAATTATGCTGAACTGTTGACTTTGTGGACAGCAATATTTTCAGTGCTTGCGGCTGTTCGAGCTAAAACAAAAGTCCAATCTGGTTCCGATGGTAATCTTTTAATTAATGACGGTATTTTAACGCATAATAACTGTACTTATATGTTTATTTAATCATGAGATTAGTTCTAATAATGGTCTCATTTTAAACTTGCATTCATAAATTTAAAGACGAATAAATTATGTGATCTACAAATTTCTAATACTTTTATATATCGCTGTTTCGCCTATATATCATTGATATGTTTACACGGATGATGATTATAATGATTTACACCCATGATTTAAACGGATTTGAGTAACGAACATAAGTTTGTAAGAGATTTCTTTAAGCAATAAGGCCTTTTTTAACACATTTATTTAAATTTCTTTTTTTAGTAAACATTTTACTTAAATAAAGAATTGTATAATTATTATTAACATGTAAATTTACATATTTTGTTTGACATTTAGCTTTATAAAGTTGTCAAATAGTTACTGAACTTTAAAAGTTTTGACAACAAGAGCAAGTTAACATTTCGTTGAAGATTATTTTTGTTGTCAGCTTCAGCAAAATATATTGTTGCTAATAAAAACTACGCATTAATTAATTATGTAAAATATTATAACCAAAAACAAAGCTGTTCTTTATCTTGTTTTAATATTATACACGGAAAGTTTGTGACAATGGATGGATAGATGTTTGTTACTCATTGACGCAAAAAGTATTGAACGGATTTTGATGAAACTTTACAGTGATATAGCTTATACATCACAATAATACATAGGCTATAAATTTCATGCGAGTTAAACTGTGGGCACAGCTAGTAACTATTAATCTTATCTTAGAATATTTTATCATAATAAAATATATTGGCATTATTTTTTTTCTAAAAACACTGCACTTCGTAAAATATAAACTTGATTTTCATCCAGAAAAAATATGAAAAAGACTACTCCCATAGTCAACTCTTTCTTTTATGTTATAAAGTTTTTTTTAAATTTATTTATACAGAGTTAGTAATAAAAGTACAAAATACAGATATAATACTCAAGAAACTGAACTACTTGGTATATATAAATATGGTATATACACTTCACGACTAATAGTTTTTTTAATATTATTATTTTTCCTATGCCGTACTTTATTTTTCTTTACTCTCAATAAAAAAAAAAACACTAAAATAATTACACATCTTATCTCTATAAACATTTCGAAATTTGAAAAAAGTCTAGTCTTTATTGTCATCTTATCATAAGAGTAGCCTCTTATTTTTTCTACAGCTATTTCAGTTTTTATTTTTTTTATATATAGCGTTATTATTATCCGTATATTATACTTTTATATATATGCTCTCAATTGGTGCGCACGTGACGTCATTATCTTCAATACGTGACTTGAAACATGTATTTCTATCCAATTCTTATAATAAGATTTGTATCCTTAAAATAATATTTTTTCTTTGATTATGTAATATATTATGGTTAACGTACTTCACTTTTAAATTTTATTATAATGTACTTAACATTATATACGTATATAATGTAATAGTTTCGCTGAAACGGAATTTCCTGGGACCTAAAAAGACTTAATAAGAAAAAAATATAATGTACTTACATCTAAAAAAAACAGGCAAATTCTACGTTATTTAATTCGTAACTATTGATGAACAAGTCAAGACATATATCTTAACAAAATCGCTCCTTTTTTGACGCCGGTTAGATTTATTTTTAGGCCAGGTCCATTCTTTTCTGCTTGAAATCAGACTATCTCTATGCTCTGTCACATTCCAACTAGTATCGAAGATATGGCGGCCTGGTTCGAACTCATTGCGGTACAAACAGAATTTAGACATATCTATCAAGGGGGAATTATTATTCATTCGCTCTTGTACTTCAGCGGATTTGAAAAGACCTCTGAACTAATCTCATTTTCGTTGGATGAAGCTGTAAAAGTCATATGTCGTCAATAGTAGCAGACTGGTTAAAAAAATGAATAATCGATTAGCAACTCTACTGGCCGATTACCTGATTCCAATTTCAAATCGCAAACACCTCTAGTTTCCAACAGATTACCTATTTCCGAACACAAGTTCGAATCCTATCTCAATAAATCCTACCAACCTTACATTTTAAATCAAAGCGCAATTTATGATTGCGTGTAAAGAGCGGCACTCACGGAAAAGGATTTTTTATGTCATTATTATTTTAAACTTTAAGGCTGTGTACGTAGAAGTTAAGTTTCCGTGGCGTATGAAATACTATTTTAGAATAATTTACTGCCAACCTAGACGTTGAATTATAGTTTCAGGTGTTCGTATTATGAACGAAAATCATTGGATGTAAGGTTATATTATTATTTCGGGATATACAATATGATTACAAACTAAAATTTTAAAGCATCAGATTGTTTGATTCAAATTCCTTTTGTTGAAAACTAGTGCCAGAAAATAAAAAAAAAAAACCTACATAATCAATATTCTACTCTGCACTTATTATACGCTTTTCTGTATAGTGTGTCTGACTCTATTACGCATTTTTCAGACGGTCTCTGGGCTTGAACACTTTTTAGGGTATAAAATCTCCATGGAAATAATATACCTGATAGGTTAAATATATATATAAAACAATCTTCATATATAAGATTAAAGTCGGTTTTTGATTAGCAGACAGTTATTCGAAAATCAACTTTAATCGTGAATCCGTACTCATTATTAATATTTTGTAGTAATAATAAATAATCATCTCACATACTAATTTGCATTCGAAATTTGAAATTTTTTCGTTCTGAAATCTGTTAAAAGTTGGATATTCATTCATTCTTCATTTCACACTTTCCTCTATGGTCGTGACTTCCATGATGATATCAGTTTCCTTGGGAATAGTGGTCCTCGCATGTTGTCTCCATCTGATACGATTTTTGGTCGTATGAGAATATTGTACAATGGGCTTGTGATGATTCATTAATATATTCATGATGATCATTAATTAATTCATGAATTTCCGTAATTGTCTGTACAAGCTTGTTACATTATGTCAACCTATGGCATTGCTACTGCTAATAAGTGACATATCAGTAATGTACTTACATTAGGTAGAAGACTGTAGTGGGCGACCTTTACTTCCATAAAATTCAAATTCATAATATCTATATTCATGTAGGTTTATTACAGACTCTTATGATAGGTCGAATCGAACTGACATGAAACTCAGCTCGTATTCTTATCAAATAAATGTTGTACATGTTTACAATAATACAGATTAATTTTTAAATACAAATTAAAAATAGAGTGACTAGCAGCATATTCTATTGCAAAAGCAAATAGTCTAATCAGTGTTTGTAACCCGACCAGACCAACCCTCACAAACAACCGTTCACGAGTATAGATGTCCTCTTAATTTGTCTCTATCTGATACTTTTTTTGGCTATATGGGATCATTATACAATGGACTGAGGATGATTCATTAATATATTCATGATTATCATTAATTAATTCAGGAATTTCCGTAATTGTCTGTACAAGCTTGTTACATTATGTCAACCTACTGACATTGCTACTGCTAGTAAGTGACATCTCAGTAATGTACTTACATTAGGAAGACTGTACTCGGCCGAGCTCCACTTTCGTTAATTGTAGTTACCTGTACCATACTGAAATTGTAAACCTCGGTGGTCTAGCGGTTTGATATACCACCTTGCTTTCTTTGGTCGCGGGTACGATTCTCCAAAGTAATGATTTTACTAAGGTAGACTTTGTGAAAAATTGACTGCGTAGTTCTAAATAACTATTTCTGCTACTAAGCTGTTTGTTTGGTGTATAGTACACCAAGTACAGCTCGGTTAACGATAAAAGATATCCCAATCCTCCAGAACAGCAACTCAAGAGGAACGCACAAGTAGTATCAAATGGTAACGTCATATGATATCAGGTGTCATATGATAACGTATTATACTCAGTGCTGTTCACAAATATAATCGACTATTACCAATTACAATCAGTTAGGCCGTCAACTTATAACTTTATAATCTACTTTACTTCAGATGGTCGCGGGTTCGATTTCTCGGTACGGTATAATATTTGTAATCATGAGTATCGGTCTGAGTGTCTTCTATATATATTATGTAAAAAAATATAAATATATATATATATATATATATATATATATAAAAAAAAAAACATCTAAGCATTTATACCAGTTGTCTGGTACCCATAACATAAGCTCTGCTTACTTCGGGATTAGATAGCTTTGTGAATTGTCCATTCCATTCATTCATTTATTTTATCTATTATATTATATACATTCATATGATCAAAATTCTTTTCACTAAAACATTTCATTTTCATATATTTTTACATTCAACCTTACCTAAAAATAATTAGAATACTAAATCCTTTGGCTGTCTCGAGACTGACATCGACGTTTGTTACAACAATGGCAAGCTATGCATTCATTATTAGCAAATTTCAAGTAAAGAATACTCTGG